CTGCAGATACTTTTGCACAACATCACATACTTAAGAAGCTTAACAAATAATTTAAAAAATAGTTAATTTTCCATTCAGAAATCCTTACAGTTTGAGACATTGTTTTGTCCTCTAAATAATAAAGGAAGATTTTTTAAGTCTTGTAATGAAATGTCTCAGTTTTGACTGAAGGGAAAAGATTTTAATGTGTTCTCTTACTTGTCAGTGTGCAGACATATGTTAGTCAAAATCTTAGATTTGAGGAGGTTTTATAAAATGTTGTGGAGGAGAAAAGTATTTCTTGAACTTGCTTTTAAATATCAACATTTTTTTTCCCTCGTTATTTATGTGGGGAAATGAGGAGATGGAAAGGAGAATGTATTTTTCAACAATTTGAAGAGAAAAAAAACTCAAGAGCTTTGAACATAAATCAAATGATTGGATTTGCTTATTGTGAACAAACTGATTACCAGAGAAAGCTATTTAGGCATTAATTAGCAATGGTAAAATTCAGTTCAGGAATGCCACTGTATTTCTTTACTCTTTGTAAGTACTTGTGCCTCTTTACCATAAAATGACCACATATGGGTTGTGAGTCTTCAACGTTGCGTTTATTTTGATCTCAGCTGCAAGATGCTGTATTATGATGCAACAGAACAGGTATTGCTATGGTACCTGAGAAGGCACTGGGACTTTTGGAAGTGATGGAAACTGCATAGCAGTTAAAAAATAAAATAAAAATCAGCACTTTCATCTTCAAGAAAGAAAAATCATGTTTTGACAATGAATTGTAAAGGTGTAACACAACTTCTTAGATTTAGTATGTCAGAAAAACACAGTAACAGTAGTGTGTACTTTCTCAGTTCAGAAAATAAGCAACAGCAACAACAACCAAAAGACATTGGTCATCCCTGTTCCTGTTTGTTCTTGGTTTTTCTCTCAATCCAGTCTGGTCTATCAGGTCTCATTGATACCACTTCTGGCATGTTTGCCCATCAAACTGCCAGAGAATGACCGTAGCGCTAGTGTTCCTTGTCTTTCCATATGACCCTTTATATACTATCATACAAAACCACTATACTTCTTGTCACTCAGATATTATCCTTTTCTGGTCCCTCTGCTGTATCTTGTAGGCAATATCCACATGTTGCTACATTTTCTTTAAAAATTCTGGAAGCTTGTTTTCCTTTTCACATAGCTATGATTTTACTCTTGTCCTGCATCAATCAGCATGGGCTGCTTTTCTTTTACACCTCTGACACTCATCATCAGCTTATTCCCACTTCACTATTACCACAGCTGCTGTAAAGATGAAATTAATTAATCTTTCTTCTCCTTGTCATTCTCCACTCTAAATCTTTACATTGCAGCCAGTTCAAGTTGATTCTTTTTATCTAAAAGGCCTCTCATGATTCTCTTGCTCTTTTTCACACCTGTTCATGCTTCATTTTTCATTGTGCTTTCAAGTATTCTGTAGAAACGGCTTTTGCCTTTGTCCATCTCTTCACTGCTCCTTAACTATGGGGTTTGGGGTCTGTTTGTTTGTTTGTTTGTTTTTCCTTCATGGCTGTCATCTCTGTGATAGTTCCCAAAGAGCTTTCTTTCAATTTCTATGTGGAATGCCTTTAAACTTTCAGCCTCGGTTATATGCTGCCAGCTTATCATTAGCCAAATAATCAAGGACATATAAAGGAGCAGTCAGCACAGATGAAGAGCATATATTTTATTAAAATAATTCAATTGAAGTATAATATAGGTAATGTATAATGTATATCACACAAATGTAATGTACATAAATGAATAAATATAGCTATGATGAACAAATAATGCATCCTAATGTTGCCACCTAATTTCCATTTCATATGTTGTTAATAACCTTAATGGTAACTGTTATAGAAAAGTACTGATAAGGGCTGGATATATGATGTAGCCTGGGAACTATAACTGTACATATATAACCATGATTATTGTTCTAAGTCAAGTTATTTTGCAGATGTTATTTTGCTGCAAAGTTAATATGAGAGGCCTATGTGCCTCAATAGGTGCCTTGTTGCTAATAATTTGATCACACATTTTCTTCCTTTATAGAAAAAATCCTTAAATTGTTAACACAACAGTTGTCAGCTCAGTGAGGAAAAAGCCAGAATAGCTTATTTGCAGATGAAATAAAATCCTGAAAAGGCATTGCTACAAAAAAACTTTGTTCACTAAAAATAAAATACGACCAATAGAAGTGCTAGTCTTGATACACTAAGGGATGCCTCATGGAAATAAAATCAGTGTTGCAGGCTTTTTCTTGTAGAAATCCAAATAATGAAGCATAAAGTGAGCTTTATTTCAAGATATCCTTTTGTCTCGTATCAGACATTTATTGGTACGGTGTAATAAGAAAATATACATTAACTTCCTTGCACCTGATGAAAATTTCAGATTTGACACTCTTTGATAGCTCTGTGTAGTTTAACCTGTGTTTGTGAAAACATCTATATTTTTTATTGTAGGAACATGTTTTTATTAAAAACAAACAAACAAACAAAAAAACAATGAAGATACTACAGGATGGTATTTTTCTTCACTGAGACTAAGTACCCCATTCCTTACAGCTAACAACATTTTAAATGGTCACCAAAAATTAGGCAGACAAATTCCTGTACAGGCCTATAAGAATTTGAATACAAAATGTTATTTATTCAGCCAAATGGACAAGCTAAGTTGTTGTTGTTATTATTATTATTATCATCATCATCATTATTATTTATTTATGCATAATCTCGTTAGGTACATACTTTATTAAATACAAAGCCCTTTCCTGTCTTCTCCTGTCCCTTTCTTCTCCATTGTTTTTTTTTCCAGTGGCAGCTGGCATTCATGGCTTTAAATTCATTCACCTAACAACCTAACATTGCAAAGGAAAATATTTGATATTAAGAGTTGTATATCACATTAAATTCACCAAGCCTTACACTAGGGTCTGCAACTCGTTTCCTTGGCATGTGCAGAAAAGTCATTTCCCCAGTGTCTTTTTCTGTGAAACAATCATAAGAAAGGAAGTAAAGATTTTCAAATCACTTACAGTGTGAATGGGGTTTTAGTTCTTCAGGACACTTTTGCAACTGAGAATTTTGAAATCTCAGTTAAAGTCTGTTGTTACTTAATCACTGAATGATAAAAATATATGGAGACATATAAAAGGAAGCACTTGAAGAGTGAAAGTGGAAAACTAACCACCAACAACTTTATCTTTCACTGCATATATTGCAAAAGTTAATTTTATTTTATTAGTACATTTTCTGCTAACAAGGTTTCCTTCTGGTCTAACGTATGCTCTCATCTCAACTTTCCAACCACAGAAAAAAAAAAAAAAAGAAGAAAAACAAAACCAAACACAAACAAACAAACAAAACTATGACCAAAATAATGTAGATGGGTTTGCACAGATATTGTTCACAGCCAAAGCAAGTCTGTTGGCACTTCCCAGCCCAATAACATAGAGTAGTTGAAGAATTTCAGTAGCTGCCTTCCAAACTATAGTAAAGGTTTGAAAGCTCAATGAAATTCAAGTGCTATTGATTCACTTTTTTTTTTTTTTTTTTTAAATTCTAGTCATTAATTAACAGCATTATTGTGAGGTGACTGTGGGAATGCTGAAAGTTGTATCATACAATGCAGAATGTGTTAATAGGTTAGGCATGGCTTTAGTAGTGTATGGTAGATAAAAAACCATATCCATTGTCAGTTATTTGTAAGACAGGAATGCAATGAAAAGGTTATTTAGCTGCATGGTAAAAGTCTTGGACACACAGGAAGAGCTATAGTCTGTTAAATAATGTGGGACCTACATGTTCATAGAACTTTAAGAACATCAAGGTTATAATGCTAACAGTGATTTTTTAACAGTATATTCTGGTATGTATCAAATTAGATAGCAATTTTATTTTTAAATTTGTATTTGAGCAAACATTTACTATTATTAAGAAAAACAGAGATAGATAGACTGTTAATTGAGTAAGTCAAAGGACCTGAGGGTTGTATTAATATATCTGCTTGAGTAGATATTTATTTTTCTGCATGTTATCAGTACAGTTGCTGTGAGTAAAAGTATCTTCACAGCCTATAAATATAAATATCTTCTTTTAAAAAAAAAAAAACACGCAATAAAGTTAACAAGAAAAAAAGAGTTTCCTATTTATAAAAAAATGCTTTTATTGGCAAACATAACAGGTTGCTAAAATTTATGAATAAATCCTCTGTTTGTTTGTTCACTCTGAAGGAAACTGGGAGGGTGACCCCAAGCTTTCCAGATCAATGTAATCTCCACACCTCAGACAGTTTCAGGGAAATAGACTTTTTTTTTTTAAATCATTTTCTGGGGATTTATTTCTTCTTATGTGTGTGTGGATGTGTGTGTGTGTGTGGGGGGGGGGGGGGGGGAGTAAAATTATTTTTAGAAGCACTGGTGCCTTAATCTTCAGCATCTTCGTCATTGCAATATCTCAGACTGGCAAAGAAAGAAAAGCAGCCATAGACTTTGAGGAGAAAAATAAATAATAATAAGAAAAAAGTACCATATATTATTCACTCTACTTTATTGCTCTTCATGACAGTTTAAGAAAATGTGGGTCTTGGTTTAAAGCCTGTGTTAAAAGTAGTGGCAAAATTAATACTCTGTATTGTCTGTGTGTAATTAGGTAACTGATATTGCAGTACCACCTGGTCATCCTGTGCTGTTCTGTTTGCGATTCCTGTTTTTGACTGTGGCAGTCTCTAGCAAACATGCACAGAAGCAGCAGACAAAAATGGTTTTAGTGAAAAGATACCATGTTTTTCTTCTTCCTTATTATAATTGCATCAGATTTAAGCTAAAGGAATGGCAGTGCTTGTTTTTTGTTTTTCCCACCCTTCCTTCTTAGGTTTATTATTTCTTTGAAAGGGGAGCTGTGGCTGGCTTGTACATAAGTGCTAATGACATTAACACAGGCAGTACAAGAGAGACAACTGACATGGATCTCATGTTTTTCCAGATGAGGATAGGCATTCACTCAGGATCAGTGCTGGCCGGCGTTGTTGGTGTAAGAATGCCACGTTATTGTCTCTTTGGAAACAATGTCACCCTTGCAAGCAAGTTCGAGTCAGGAAGTCACCCACGCCGCATCAATGTCAGTCCAACCACGTACCAGTAAGTGTTGCTAGCCTTTTCATACTGTTTATTATTATTTCAGTTTGTTTTCAGCATGATCTTATAGCAGGCACTGACTTCACTCAGCACATGAGCTACAGCAGAAAGTCAGCAGGGTGCCAGGATAACTGGAAAGAGGGACTACATGGGGTTCTCAGGCTTTGTTTGCAGGCTTGCATCAGAATGTTCAAGGAAGTCAGGCAGTGGAGGCAAGGGACCACCACAGGACAGGCTGCCATGGCTGCCTATAAAAAATGTGTATTGGAAGTGGGCAGATGACATTAAATTAGGAGGAGCTGTTGAATCCTTTAAGGGTACAGAGGTCTTGCAGAGAGATCTTGACAAATTAGACGGCTGGGCAACCACTAACCCCATGATGTTTAACAAGAGGAAGTGCAGGATTCTGCACTTCGGAAGGAGCAACGCTGTCTGCATGTAAAGACTGGGGTCAAGAAGCTGCAGAGCAGCCCCACAGAAAGGGGTCTGGAAGTTCTGGTTAACAGCAAGTTGAACGAGCCAGCAGTGTGCTCTGGCAGCCAAAAGGGCCAACCATACCCTGGGTGCATCAGGTCAAGGCTAGCAGGTCAAGGGACGGGATTGTCCTGCTCTGCTCTGTGTTGCTCTGGCCCCACCTCAAGTATTGTGTGCAGTTTTGGGTGCCACAATAAAAGAAGGACATAAAACTGTTAGAGAGTGTCCAAAGGAGGACTACAAGGATGGTGAAGGGTCTAGAGGGGAAGACGTATGAGGAGTGGCTGAGGTCCCTTGGTTTGCTCAGCCCAGAGCAGAGCAGGCTGAGGGGAGGCCTCATGGCGGCCTGCAGCTCCCTCACAAGGGGAGTGGAGGGGCAGGCGCTGAGCTCTGCTCTCTGGGGACAGCGACAGGACCCGAGGGAACGGCATGGAGCTGGGACAGGGGAGGGTCAGGCTGGGGGTTAGGGAAAGGTTCTTCACTGAGAGAGTGGTTGGGAGCTGGGACAGGTTCCCCAGGGCAGTGGTAATGGCACCGAGCCTGCAGGAGTTCAAGAAGTGTTTGGACAGTGCTCTCAGACAAATGGTCTGACTTTTTGGTTTGTCCTGTGTAGAGCCAGGAATTGGGCTCAGTGATCCTTGTGGGTCCAGCTTTGGGTGTTCTCTGTTTCTATGATTCTATGATTCTGTCTCCCACTGTGTCATCATTTTATGCGGTTGATGAAGAGAAGCATGGTTCCATTAGTTCAGGAAAGAGTTAACTTTTTGAGTGCAGCCAAGCTTTCAAAGACTTTTTGTGCTTTCTTGGAAACAAAATTTCTTATTTAACACTGTAAAGAGACACTTAATAGAAGTTTTTTCTTAATATAAGAAAAAAGATTGAAAATGGCAAAGCATTATCACCACCTCTTTGAAGAAATTATGCAAATAGAGAGAGGGCTTGATTAAATCAGGTCATGAGGAACATCTAAAATAAAAAAAAGGTGTTCCTTATTGTTCAAATTTGACAGCTTGATAATAAGAGTTTCTTCTGTTTGGATTGTGACTGATGTATTCGCTTTTTTTTGGCAGGAGATCTAGATCTTACTCTTTTTTTTTTCTACATTCTGTATCTCAAGTAATTTTCTGAAGTACAGTTTTGCTCAGGTTTTTGGACTCTGTTCCTCCACAATAAATCTGTAAGCAATCATTCATACAATATTGATTTTCTTTTTTTTTTTTTTTTTTTTTTTTTAATACAGAACTGTGAATCTCCGTATTTACTTTTTCCCATAACTATGTAAATTAAAGTTTCAAATGGAATTTCTTCATCCAAGAATCAAAACTTCTGATATGCTAAAATATAAAGCAGTTAGAAATGAAAGTTAAAAAGTAATTAAAACTAGTGTATAAAATTACATTCATCTAAAGAGCCCTTTCACTTGATATCAAATTTGCAGAATAGTGCAAAGTGGAATTAATTGAACAAGAGGCAGAAAAACTGAACAGACTTTTGCAATGTGCACAGAAGCAGGTTCATATAGTTTTCTGTTAACATGCAAGAGAAATGCAGACTCAAGCTACTATCAGGCATGTTCATTTAAGTAAAAATATTTTCTATAAATATATAGGAAATATATATATTAATTTTATTGACCTAAAGCATTCTCCAGTGTGCATGGGGAGGTTGTCAAGTAGAATGAGCCAGGCTCTCCAAAGTAAGGCTAGGCGGGAGGACAAGGACAGCAGCATAAACTGACACAGAAGAGACTCGGCCTGCATGTAAGGAAGCACTTTTCCCCCTTAAGGACAGTCAGGCAGTGGCAAAGGCTGCCCAAGAGGTTGTGCAGTCCCCATGCTTGTAGATTTTCAAGACCTGACTGGATGAAGGCCTGAGCAGCCTGGTCTGAATTCAGTGTTGTACATTTTTTTGAGCAAGAGTTTGGACTAGAGAGCTCCTTAGGTACTCTCCAGCGTGAATTATTTTATAAGTCTCTAATGTGTCCATTTGTACATTCATCTTAAATGCCAATTGAAGTTCTAGATCTAAATGAAGAAATTAATATTTTTTGACTGACCTACACATTCTACTGAAAAAGAAAAAAATGTCCTGCTTGTTGCTGCAGCATCAACCTGTGAATCTAGAGTAGTTTCATATATTAGGTATACTTCTGACAGTTTTTGAAGCTGGGTGAATAATAGTGATTTTCATTGAGTAGAAATATTCTTTTTTGCAACAGTCATAGTGGAAAAAGTAAAAGGCAAAAAGAAAAGATCATACTTTAGTTCTTCATATGAGGTTTGCATTTGAATGGTTTGCAGTTTTAATTTTCTGGTTCATCCCTAGAAACATATACTGATTTCACAGTTCAGGCTTGTGTTATTGGTAAACTTCTTGAGTGTGAAGGACTCCCATGGCCATTTACAGGCAAACAATTTATAGAGCAATCAGAGAGGAGCCATGCATCAGGTGACATTCTGGTATATGTGGGAATGTCTTGAATACACTGGGTCATCGATGAAGGGTCCTTTTTTCACCATGGCCAAACTGCTTATTTTCTACAAAGCTACAGATTTTGACTGATGTTTTCAGAAAAGGAAAGGTAGTATAAAAGTTACTCATGATGCAATAATATTATTAAAAGAGACAACAAAACAAAACACAACAAAACATAGAATTTTTGGTATGTGTTATCTGCATTATTATACTATGTGGACAGTTATCATTCAAGGTGAATGGCTGAAAGTACCAACTGAACTAGTTTCTTCGACATGCTTTTTACAGAAAGCGTTTGAGAAAATAAAATGAATGTGCATGGGGCTACTTAGAAAGGCTGTTCCAAACCATACCTTCTGGCATGATTGAAAGCATGAGAACTTGTAAGGGAGAAATCAGGAAACGGCATGGCTGACAGTGGCCAGAAGAGACTGCAATTGTGAAATATTCAATAAAACAGTATTATTCATGGCTCCTGAAGGTGATCCAGGGGGCTTAAACATAATATAACAGTACTATCCAAGTAAAGAAGTAATAATCTGATGCACCTGTATACAACTTTTCTTACATAGAATTTGCATGAATATATAATTTGCTGTGTACAAATGAAGTGATTCATTGCAAACTGAAATGTCTTTATGGCTGACCTTATCTGCCATTTCTATTTGATCATGCCATACTGCTGTGTACCCAGTTAGCATTTTTATGATCCAAGAAGCAATGTTTTACTAAGTAGATAATTCTGCAATCAGTATGAAAATAATAGAATTTCGATTAATTGAAACTCCTGGCATTTATCATAATGTGTTTGTGTCTACCATGCTTCATGATGAAAATTCTGATAACATGTTTTGTGCTTACAAAGTATGTAGATACTGGAAACATGTCTAATACTTATCAGCTTTCATTTTACAGTACAAATTATGCATTACAAAATGTCATCAGTGTTCAAAGTGATAATAACACTTCAGAATGCCTATTATTGGTTTCAGACACTTCCCCATGAGCCCATAATATGCCTGTGTAAGAAGCAGAGTCTAAAATATAAATATAACGTGGTGTTGCTTAGCAGCAGCCCTGAACCTGGGGCAGCCTTGCTCCCATTTACACCTGCCAGGGAAGAGCTGTGCGGTGTAAAACAGTGCCTTTTACAAAAGTGTCCTTTGAATCTACTGGGGATAGAAGCTCACTTCTGTTCAAAATACCTTTTTCTCCTGACTCAGATGGGTCTATTGACAGAAGGACTACAGAGCCCTGGTGGCTTTGAATCACAGGGTATTGTAAGATGAAAGTGCTGAAAAGCACTGGTAAAACTTCCTGAGAAACACACAGAAACTGCAGAGGGAGGAGAGGATCCCAGACTGGTCCCTGTTAGACATGTGGCCAGAAAGGAATAGAAGAAGAATTACACATTCCCTGTTCCTTTAGCAAACTTGAAAATCCAGCTGTAGATTTATTTAATTCATCTATATTATCCTGAATTGAATAAAATTAGTTTTCCATACTCAGGAAGGAAACACAGTCAGATTTTTGAGTCTCTTCTTCAGCACAGAAGAAAGATTAAATAATTTTTATTTGTTTCAGCCTTGAATAATGTCTATCTGATATTAACATAATATACCTACATTCATCCTGTTTCCCTAATGGTATTAAAATATAATGCCGTGGGATCTCTAAGCAGTTATCAAAAGCATATAAATATAGTTGTTGTTAATTGTCAAGTAATTAAATTTAAAAAATATATTTTTTTGCCTCTTCTTTCAACTTCTGGCCTTCTCTAGTACGTATTTATCTTATGGAGAAGGTATTTTAGGCATCAGTTATGGGGTACAGATACTTTCTGTTATCACATGCTAAGCAATACATATGGTTAATACATCTCAGTTTAGGCAAAGATGAGCAGCCTGTACCCCTCCTCCTTATTTGATTAAGACAGAGAGAAACCAGGAGTGCTTTTGCATGGAGCTAGGTGAAGTCCCTGCTGGTTCACCTGCCTGAATTGTCCCTTGGCCTTTAAAATTGTACATAATTTGAATATTTATGTCATTGTATGG